CATCCGTCTACTCACTCGCAACTTCTCCTGCTTGCATTGGATCCACTCCACGACATCCGTCTACTCACTCGCAAACACTCACAACTTCTCCTGCTTCGATTGGATTCACTCCACTGCATCCGTCTACTCACTGTTGTGTTACCTGCAAGCACTCACAACATCCCCCTGCTTGCATTGAATTTCACTCCACGACATCCGTCTACTCACTCGCAAACACTCACAACATCTCCCCACTTTGCATTGGATTCACTCCCACCACATCCGTCTGCAAGCACTCACAACACCTCCTGCTTCCATTGGATTCACTCCACTACACCCGTCTACTCACTCGCAAGCACTCACACCATCTCCTGCTTGCATTGGAGGGACTCGAAGACATACGTGTAGTCACACGCAGGCGATCACACCTTCCTTCTCTTGCATTGGAGCAACTCTACTACAAATCCGTCTACTCGGTGCAGACGCTTCATGCGTACGCTTGCTTGCTCTGTGCGTGTTGCTTGCAAGCGCCCACAACTTTCCTTGCTTCCACCCTGTTCACTTCACAATAATCCTCCACTCACTCCCCACTGCTCCACAGCATCACCCACCATGCCTGCACGTACCTGCAATCGACCCTTTATCAATCTACACCATCACTCACACACCGCTCTGTCACCCCCCTCGCCACTTCACTCCACTCCACTCTACTTCACTCAGCAGCATCACCTCCCGTCTTGGATTCACTCCCCAACATCACCTGCGCTTCCTTTTTCTCGCCGCCAGTAGCGACATGGTCAGGTGCGCAAGAAGCTCGCTGCGATGATCTTCTCCTCTTCCCACTTTACCTTCTCTCTTCGTGCATGTGTGCTATTGCTTGCAATATTTGTGCTTCTGCTTCCTTCGCTCCACCGCCACAATCACAACCCAACCCAAAACACAACACAACAGCACATCCATGCATGTGCCGCTTTGTTCCTTCTTCTCACACTTCACTCACTTGCGCCTTTCTCTCTTCCGTGTGCCTTTCCAGATTCCATGTGTTGCTTTGTTGCTTTGCACTTGTTGCCACATGCTTCATTCACCCTTGGCCCTCTTTCTCTCTTCCATCCACTCACCACCACACAGCACATCTCCACACAACATCCTTCACTTCACTTCACTTCACACAACACAACACAACACCACATACAACACACTGTGTGCATTCGTGCTTCCCTTCGTCCCTTTCTGTCGCCACCTTGTCACCACAAGCCTTGTTTGTCCATTTCACCTGCGTTCCACCACCCCTCCTGTCTTGTTTCAATTCTTGCCACTGCTGCTGTTGTTTCCACGTACTTGCATGCCTACCCTTGTCTCTGTTCACTACTTTGTGTCGCCACTCCTTCCCCTTCCCTCCCCTTTCCTGCCTCGTTCATGTTTCATGCTGCATGTGTTACAACACATCATAAACCCATCAAGCCCACACTGCCGCCTTCTTCACCATCAGCCCTGTTCACCACCACCATCACCACTCGCTGCCACCATTACTCACTCGCTTCATCCTTTCCCACCCACTCCCACGTTCACAGCAGCTGCTGCTGTCCTCACCTGCATGCAGCACCCACTCCACAGCCACACGCCTAGCTCACCACCAATCCAATCCACATCACATCATACACACACACTGTGCTGACTTCACTGCACCCACCAGCACCCATCCACACCACCACCAGTACCACACGATACACACAGCTGCACACGCGTGGTGCATTGTATGATTCCACTTCACTTCAGCAACACGACAGCAAGCAAACACACACGCGCACACACGTGGCAAGAATAAGCGAGAAAACATCCCCATATCAACTGCAAGCAACACACACACACACACACGCAACAAGCGACAGCTCCATGCTACGCCACACCGCTTCACGGCTTGCATCCACTGGTCCATCCATGCAGTAGTGGTGATGGCAGCAGAGGAGAGAAGGAAGAGTATGCCTTGCCCTGCCTTGCCTGCCTGCCTTGGCTGTGTGTGAGGATGTGTGCCTGCACACCCACTCACTCACTGTGTGTGTGTGTGTGTCACCATCCAAACACACACAGGTATGTGAGACAGAGGGAAGCAAGCAGCCACACATACACACACACACACAGTGTGAATCACAAGCAGACACAGCATGAACGACATACACACAGTCACAGTCACGCACATGCAAGTGCAACGCACCGTGAGGTAGGCATCAGACTGCCTGTCAGCGTGCGTGTGTGTGTGTGTGTGTTCACACACTCATGTGTGTGGGTCGATGCAGCCCATCATCCCTCTGTGTGTGTGTGTGTCTGTGCGTGTGAGCCAAATGCATCCACAGCAGCAGGAGAGCGTGTGAGGTCACAACACCCACCACAGCCACGTCCCACTCTCCCTCCTTCACATACACAATCACACGCACCCACACAGCAGTCAAACCAATTGACAGAACTCACCCAAACTCACGGTGCCAGCGTGGCATGGGCCTGTGCAGCACATATGTCAGCCTCACTGACCGTGGGCAACGCCTTGCATGCCTTTGGCCCTGCACACATCCATGGTGTGGTCGCTGCTGTGCGTGTTCTCTGCTTGCACCTGCGCACCATCACAACATCACCCACCACACCCCACACAGTCCATGGAACCAAACGAGACCACCCACAACAGGACCGCCAGTGAGTGCCCGTCACAACGCGCACCCTCTCCCTCCTCTCCACCAACCCTGCGCCAGCCACGCACACGAACAACGCAACCCACCACCTCCCACTCAAACACACACACCTTGATTCGTGTTTTCGCCTGTCGCTTGTCGCTTGTTTGTGTGTGTTTGGGCGATTAGTGGAAGATGCCACAAATAATCGCCCACTGCTGCGGTTGTGCGGCAACTGCTGTTTGCTTCTGCGTTTGCTTGTTGAAGGGCGGACTTGCTTGGTTGTTTGGTTGCTTGGTTGGTTTCAATGAGACAAGAAGAAGGGGGAAGGGGGAAGGGGAACGGCACTGCGTGTGAATGCAACGCAGGCTCACAGGCCTTGCAGGCTGAGGAGGGAAGGGAGAAGAAGGGGAGAAGAAAGGGGGATGGAAAAGAAGAAGCAACAAACACACAACACACACACACACACACAGCTGTGCACAGCATGCATCCCCTCCCCTTCTTCTCTTCTTCGCTTCTTCCTCCTCCTCACAGTCATAACAGACAACCAACAGCCACAAAGGGCCGGAAGAGAAAACAAACAAGGGGGAGGGGGCAACAGCCGCCCAGCCAGATCGCCATGGAAGAAAGAGGCGAGGTGATAGAGGGGGGGGGGGAGGAAGTAGAACACCGCCCATCAACACACACACACATCTGTTGGGAGCCCCACGTCTTGTGTCCTTGCTTCCCCTCTTCCTTTCCTTGGCCTGGGTTGAGTTGGGTTGGTTGAGGTGGCACAGCTCGCCATGGCGTGTCATGCGTGGTGGGTGTGGGCATGGGTGTTGGATGTGGATGGGCTCCTCTCTCTGCGTGTGTGTGAAAAGGAAGGGTTGGAGGGAAACAGTGGAAGGGGTGGCAGCAGCAGCAGGAGAGGAGGAAGAGGGAGAAGAAGCAAGGGAAGGGCGGTGGATGTGAGCATGTCATGCATGAGTGGACAATAACAACACATGGGGCGCAGCGATGATGATGATGTAGTTGTTGTTGTGTGTGATGGCACAAGCACACAAAGGTCAACCCCAATCACACACACACCTCGTCGTCGATCAACGCGTCTGCCTGACATATGCGCACACGCGCGCACACATCTGCAGTCATACACACACACATAGTCACACATGGCATTGCAGAGTGAGACGGTACAACACCATGCACACGCATACACAGCAATGCAACCACAATCACCACAACCACCACAACGACAACATCTCTCTCCCCATCTCCATCCACCAAATGCACGGTCACATGACCAGGTGCACAGCCGTGGTGGTGATGGTGGCCATGATGAACGCCTTCCTCCCACTTCCCATCAACGCTCTTCCACCAAACACACACACAGCATTGCGTGCCCTCACCTCGTGCATCGTGTTGCTGTCGGCGTGGTCGATGGCGACGCACACACGCACACGCACACATCGCTGTGTGTTCCCAGTTGAGACGAGCAACGAAGAGAGAGAAATGGGCGACACGACACAACGGCCAGTCAACCCCAGCCAATCCAACCCAGCATCCACTGCCGTGTGTTGCCTGCTGCAGTCATCATCACAAACAATCACAATCACAATCACAGGTGCAAGCAAAAGGAATAAGCCACTGACGTGTGTCTCATTGTCATGTGATATGACCACAACCACACACCATTCACGCGCATGTGTACACGCACACCCCATCCCCCAACCAACATCATCGCCCTCCATCCCTTCCCCTCCCTCTCCCTCCTTTCGCTCTGCACTCCCACGTCGCACCACCATCACCGTGTTACTTCCCCCCTGCTTCCCACCACTCGACACAACACAGCCCACCAACCAGCAAACCAACCGCCAACGATCATCCTCACCTGTGCTTGATGCAGCCAGCCAGCCAGCCGATGTGCCACAGCGAAGCCAGAAAAAGGAAGCGCAATCACACGCCACGGCCACCATCGTCATCGCTGATGGAGCAGAAAGAAAAGATGAAGGGGGAAGAGTGGTGGGCACGGGCCGTGTCCTTCCTGGTCTTCATCGGTGCAGCCCCAAACACGGTGCACCGCGCACAGGCACACGCAGGGTCATCATCACAGCAACAGCAACAGCAGCAGCGACAGCGAGCCTGCCTGCCTGTGAGGCAAGAAGAAACCAACCAGAGACGAACAACAACAACCGGTGATGGTGAGGACAGGAAAGGAGGTACACAAGGGACCACGCATGGGAGTATGCAGCATGTTGTGGGCGGGGTGCACCAGATGCACACAAGAACAACGAAGCAAGCATCCAACAAGCAAGCAAGCAGGCAGGCACAAAACATCACCACATCCACCATATCCACCACTGCTGCAATACCTGTGTTGGCCGCTGTCTCGATCACGCCTCAACAGCTGCACATCACATGAGGAAGGCTGACGATGATGATGACACAGAGCAAAGGCGATTGGTTGGGAAAAGGGGAATGAAATTCGGTTGGGAACCCGCACACATCCGCCTGCAGCCACGCACACACGCACATTTGAGTTGTGTGATTGACTCATGTGAGACACACGTCAGTGCAACCACCCACAGCCAATGACTGCTGTGGTGTGTTGGCATACATGTGTACATGCGTGCATGCGTGTGTGTGCGTTTGTGTGTGTGCCACCACTCTACCCATCACCCCACCACACACACACACACACACACACACACACACACACACACACATTTCTTGCACATTTGTGTGTGCGTGTATCGCTCTGGTCGTGTCATGAGGGCTTGGGAAGAGATCGGTCACCGTCATTTGTGCGTGCGTGTATCGCCCTGCTCGTGTCATGAGGGCTTGGGAAGAGATCTGCCACCGCCCTGTGCAAAATCACACACATGTACACATGCGCAAGCACAAACAACCAAATCAGCAAGAATCACACGACGCAGTGAGCCAGCATGGCAGAAACAAACCGCATCCACCTCCTTGTGCCACATTCACATCACTCACATCATCACCTGTGCACGCACAATTCACACCCCACACACAGATACGCACCACCACCACCACCACAAGCAGCACACCTGCACATGCGTGTGTGTGCGCCGTCCACATCCACCACAAACCACTCACCACCACAATCATCGTCGTCATGCGAGGCAACGGCACATCGACGCACATCACCTCCTGTGTGCGTGTGAAGAAAGAGGTGAGTTGTCACAGAATGAGGCTGTCACCGACAACACACCCTATGTCCACCACCAACAGACCCAACGACATCCATTCATCCCTTCACAAACACACATATACATGCTGTTGTTCACACCCAACACATCACACACCACCCACATCACCACAACTACCACCACCATTTAACTCACCTCCACACCCATGGTCGCAGCCGCTGCTGTTGGTGACCAGTGACGACGACGAGGGAGGAGGAGATGGGCGAGATACAGAGGGCCAGTTCATCCACAATGCAGCCACACATTAGCTGTTGCTGCTGTTGCTGCTGGTGGTGGTGAAACGGTGAAAACAAACGGCCCCTTGCCACGCCGTGTCCTTTGCTCGCTCGCTCGGCTGTTTGGTTGGTCGGTTGGACGGAGACGGGATGCATGGCCCTGTGTCCAAATTAATCGAAAAAAAGGGGGAGAAGAAGAAGAGCAGACACGTGAGTGGACAGAACAGACAAGGAAAGAGGGAGGCAAAGAAGGACACACAACGTGTGAACCACGCACACACACACACACATCTCAGTCGGCCTCTCACCTGCATCACTCGTCATCGTCATCGTCGTTGGTTCCAGCGCTTCATGTGCCTCGCCAACGCTGTGAAACGTGTGTGCACGGACACAAGATGGGAGAGAATGCAGGTGGTGAGGTTGACAGCGAAGCATCATCAACCACACGCCAGCCCCATCCAACCACAAGCATTGACACACATCCGCACGCACACATCTTGTCCCCACTCACTACCACAACACACACACACACACACACATATGCTCACCTCTTCGTGAGAACGACTGACATGTGCAATGTCTGCCTCACGCCAGATGGCAGCTGTGCGGGCGATGATGATGATGGTGATGATGACAGCGGAGCTGCGGTGGAAGAGAGGAAAAGGAGAGAGAAATGGGGAAGGTTGATGATGATGATGATGATGATGGGTCGTTCATGGCGGCTGCTTTCCCCTCCTCTGATGTGGCCCTGGTGTCCATGCAACCAACACACAACGACAAGATACAACGATATCATCACACAAAGGCACAGGCATGGCATGTGAGCACAGCAGGCGTGTTCACCTTCCTGCTCCCTCCTCTGCTTTCCTCCACCTCGCCCCACCACACACACATACACACACACGCACATGACTGCGTCGCACACACACACACGCACACACTCACTCACTCACTCACACACACACACCTGCGCATCGCTGCGTCGCTGTGGTAGGATGTGCCCGCCATGACCATGGACGTGTGTGTCCACAGCTGCTCCTCCCAATCCATCATGTGTGCATCGCCCATCATCCTCAAACGATCCTCACGCAGTCGCCGCTGCAGCCACAAGCATACATACATTGCGTGTGAGCTACGCTGCTGTACGAGACACAGCAGCAGCAGTAACACCAAACACCCAGAGCAGCAACACCAACACATGCGCCATGTGCCAACTAAAACATCCATGATGGGCTCACCTTGCTCACGCATATGGGAATACTGCATGAGCACAGCAGTGGCAGCCGAATCGGGGGAGTTGCAGCTGCAGCAGCAGCATCCGGCATGCGAGCCCGCTTCCACCAACATCCTGATGTGTGCTGGTACCTCACCACCTGTGTATATGTGTGTGTGTGCGTATGTGAGTGGTTGCAAGGAACGTGGATGGAAACAGAACACAACAGGCACAGAGCAAGCCATCATGTCAGCACAGCAGAACGAGTTATTGATATCACACGCACCACGTGTGTGTGTGTGTGTGTGTCGGTGCGTGATCATCATCCCCATCAACCCCTCTTCCTCTTGTTCACTTCACCCCATCACCACAACCCCATCCCCACACTCCATCACACACACACAACCAACCACCCATCACCACCCACATACCATGTGTGAGGCGAGTGCACCTGGCATGCGTGACAAGTATCCTCGACATTTCCCTCATCCTGATGCTTGTGCGTGCGCATCACCTGTAAGTGTGTGGTTGTGTGCGAGCACCAGCATGGTGAGTGAGTGGGAGGGAAGAGGGAGCATGGATATGTGCACAGCTACACTGCTGCTGCCACTGCTGGTGTTGTGCATGCATTTGTGAAGGAGAAGAAGGGGGAGAGAGAAAACAGAAAACAGAAGGGAGGGAACAAGTCATGCTGCACCCCATCCATCCATCCATCCCTCTTCCTCACACCACCACCACACACCACCATCCTCTGTCACCAGCCAGCCACCACACCACACCACACCACACCACACCACACTCACCCAGCACCCCCCACCGCACCTCATCCATCCATCCAACCATCCAGCCAACACACATCTCCTCTCCGTTTTCCATCTTCTTCTCGCCCTCACCTCTGCTGCTGCTGCCCAGCCGAAAATGCAACTTGTGCTGTCACCACCTGTTCCCAGCCGCAAACAGCCAGCTTCCGCCAGCAGCAGTGGGCGATGGGTTGGTTGGTTGGGGGATGTGTTCAGCAGCAAGTGATGGTGGTGGTGCATTCTCTGCTGCTGCTGCAGCATCGGCGGTGGAGGGTGTGTTGGCTGCTGCTGCTATTGGTGGTGAGGCGGCGATGGCCGCGAGGGAGGGCGAGAAAGAGAGGGGAATATAAGCAGCAGCTGCAAGGTGGGGAATGTGCAGGTGTGCAGGCAGTCGTGTGTGTGAGAACGACGAATGAGACAGCGCATCAAGCAAGGCAAAACAGGCAGTCGCACCACACACATGCACACATTGATGTGGGACAACAAGGGGAGACAGGAGCAACAGAGACAGCGATCACAAAACATGTGATGTTGTGCTCATCACACACATGCACACATGTGCAGTGATGCACTCACGTTGCTCATCGCTCGCTTGTTTGTGGTGTGGTGTGTGTTGGTGTTGCTGCTTCCACAGCCGCATACAGCGTGGCTGGATGGTCATCACATGGCAGCGCCCGTCTGTTCATCCCACCAGAGCGGTGTTGGTTGGTGGAAGGGGAGGGGGTGACAACAGCTGGCTCAAGGGCCCTCTGTGTGGCGACAGCAGAAGGAAGGAAGGGGAAACGAGCAAGTGTGGAGGGTGGTGGTGTTGGCGGTGTTGAGGGTGGGAAGGGAAGGATGTGAGCAAACACACAAGAAAAATGAGGAGGTGGTGATGATGGCGTGTGGATGGGTGGAGAAGAGAACATGCACGTCGACACACACACACACACACACACACACGCACACACACACACACACACACACACACACACACACACACACACACACACACACACACACCTGTCTGGGTGATGCAGTGGTTTGATCACCATTCATCCGTCAGCATGTAGTCATTTGTTGGTTGGTTGGTGGAGGTTGCCCACTGGCTCACGCATCAGCCAGCACCTGCTGCTGCTGCTGCTGCTGATGATGATGATGATGATGATGAAATACATCCATCTGCACGCACCACCACAAACAAACAAGCAAACAACAGCAGTGAGCAGCGTGTCACAGACGCAGAAAGGAGGAGACAGAACGAAGGAGGATGAGCAGAAACACAACCCCGTGCACACACACACACACACACACACACACACACACACACACATTGGCTGTGATGTTGGTTGATGTCATTTCCCCCTCTCTCCCATGTGTGTGCTGCTCACTGGATGAGAGGTTGCATGATCCATTCTCAGGGTGGCCGCTGCATGACGGTGGCTGATGGCAGCTGTTCTGTCACCACACAACGGTGAGCAAGTGCGTGTGTGAGTGTGAGTGTGTGCATTTGTGAGTGCCACACGCTGCGGTGTGTGTTGGTTGTGATCCACACAACCATGTACGGATGCGTGGATGGATGGTGGTCCACATGTGTGTGCGTGGCTGTGTGTGCACGATGACAGCGTGCGCTGTGTTGTTGTTGTTGTGGTTGTTGTTGTTGTTGATGTTGGTTGTTGCTGCTGCGCACTGTGCGAGGAGAAAAAAGGGAGAAGGAGGAGAACGAAGTGGGAGGAAGAAGTGGGAGCACTCAATCTCACCATCACCTGTCGATGGATGGGTCATTCATGTGGTCGTTGGTTGGTTGGTTGGTTGGTTGGTTGTGCGTGGTTCATCACAGGAGGAGGAAATGGACAACGATGAATGGAAGGATGGAAGGGAGAGAGGGAGAAGGGAAGGAGAAGGAAGAAGAGAGACGGTGCGCACATCCTCCCTGCACATGTGCGTGTGTGTGTGCGTCAGCGAGGACGACGAAGGGAAGGGAAGGAAGGGAAGAGAAGGAAGGAACGTGGCACGCACAACCACCAATGTGTGCGTGTGTGTGTGTGTGCACGAACCAATGACACATCCCCCTCACCTCATCTCACCTCACCTCACATCACCCTCACCTGCCTGTCAGCAGTATCGACGACGACCATGGTCACCATCACCATTCCCACCACCATCACACCAGCTGCTGCGCAGAAGAAGAATGAAGCAACGGCGAGTGGGTTGGTTGGTTGGAAAGCAGAATCGGTTGTTTGCTCGTTTCTGCTTGCTGCTGGTTTTTGGTGTGTGTGCGATTTTCCTCTTCCTCTTCTTTTCTTGCTGGCTTGCTGGCTCTGCCTTGATAAATGGCATGTCTTGCTTTATAGTCGGCAACGTTCATTCCAACGGGATCACGCCCGCTCTCGTCCGATCGCGGAAGCTAAGCCCGTTTGGGCCCGTTCAGTACTGCCGTGGGTGACCAGGCGGGAATCACGGGTGATGTTGCTCTCCCTTCCTTTTTTTTTCTCTCTTCCATATGGTGCTGCTGTGGTTGCTGTGGTGCTGCTGCTGTGGCGCTTGCTATCTCTCCTTCACTCCCCTCTTCTCTTCGGTTTACCTCTTGTTGTGCTTCTTCTTTGCTTGCTGACTTGCTTGCTTCCACTTGGGGGTGAAGAGGTGGTGGCGTGTGTTGGCTCACCTCCCCTCTTCCCTCTTGTTGCTTGTCTTCAGCGTTGCTGTGCTTCACACACACACACACACACACACACACACACACACACACACACACACACACACACACTGATCTATCGCTGTTTCAGAAGGGGGTCTATTTACTGCCAGTGGGTGACAGGCCTAACGCAAGTTCAAAAGAAGAAACCAAAACCATGGCAGCTGACACAGCAACGGCAACGTCGTGGAAGCGGGGAGAAAAGGCTGACACGTCCGAGGACGAATCTGAGGGAAAACAGGTGGCGGTGGATGGTGTGATGTGAAGGGCATGAAACAATGGCGATGGCATCAAGCCGAGTCTGCGAAGGAGGCGATGCGGTCCACCTCTGACGGGAGCAGGGACTCGCGAGACATGAACGCCTTGAACGCGAGCTGTTTGGCCTCCTGTTCACAGGGATGTTTTGTCAGAGAAGAAGGAGGAAAGCGACGGCAGTGACAACCGCATGTGCGAGCAAGCTGTGAGCGAGCTGGCGCAGCTGGCATGCCAACACGGTCAATGCAGACGCAGACACAGACGCAGAGAGCATCGACACAAAGCACACACACACATATTGTAACAAACAACACAACACAACACAACACAACACAACACAACACAACACAACACAACACAACACAACTCAGCACACGCGTCTACACCTTGAGTTCGTCTGCGAGCTGGTCAATCTGCTGCTGGAGGCCGTTGTTCTGGGCCTCAATCTGCTGTGAGCGCTCCCGTGCCTTCTCGCGCGAGCGCTTGACAGAGCGGTTGTTGCTGTCGCGAATGCGACGCCAGCGGCTCCAGTCGGCGAGATACTCCTCCGTCGTCGCGTAGTCCGCACGCTTCGGCTCCTTGCGCCGGCGCCGGCCCTGGACATGTTGAGAGAGAGAGAGAGAGAGAGAGAGAGAGAGAGAGGGGGGGGGGGTTCGGTGCACAGTGGAAGGTGGTGCAAAGGTCACACGTGAGCCGCAAGAATGTTGAGACAAGGGTGAACAAGGGAGCCAGGTAGGAGCGGGTGCGCATGCAGAGAATTCGCACACGTGTGCAGGCACATGCACGCGCGCATGCAAGTAGACACCTACGCACACACGCATGCACACACAACACAACACATGCACACACATGCACACACACACACACACACACACACACACACACACACACGCGCGCGCGTACATCAGCAGTGCGGGAGCCCCAGGAGGAAGCACGCTTCTTCTTGGACTGCTTGGCCTTTGTTGCCTTCTTCGATGGTTCGGCTGGAATCACAGGCTCTTCTTTGGCAGGTACTGCGGCGTGCACTGCCGCTGAGACTGCAGGCGAAGAGGAGGCGGACGCATCTGGCTGAGCAGCGTACGTGCCTGTGGCAGGCAGGTAGTTGAGCATTTCGTCGCTCAATGTTGGGGGTGGCAGCAGCGAAGCGTCCTGCTGCGCGGTGCCCTTGGAGAAAGCATCGAGCAGGAAGCTGTCAAAGGCTGGGTCCGGTGGTGCCGCCAAGCCGAGCACATCCTGAAGCAGCTTCTCGTCCGACAGCGTCGCCTGTGCACCCATCGACATCGACAAGAAGAAAAAAGAAAGGGGGGGCCCAAGGATGCGGCGGCAGGGCATTTGGGTGAGACCAGAACGGTGTTCAGGATAAGACGAGAAGACCCGCGAGAATGAATGGCGATGCGGCGATGCGGCGATGCGGAGGGCAGAAACACGGGCTATGTATGACGCACGTCACAAGAACAGGCCATGTGTGCCGCTTACACACACACACACACACACACACACACACAAAACACACACACACACACACACACACACACACACACACACACACACACACACACACACACACACGCACGCACGCACACGCACGCACGCACCGGTGGGGCAATCTGTGGGTTGGGAAAGTGCCCCATGAGGAAGGAGTCCCCCTGTAGTGGTTCACGTGATGCAGGAGGTAAGGTGAGTAAGTAAGAAGCAAAAAGGGTTGTGAGTGCAAGTGGTGCAAGAGAGGTATTCGGCAAACGCACAAGCGAGGCATGTGTCGACACACACACACACACACACACACACACACACACACACACACGCACACACACACACGCACAAGCACACACACGCACAAGCACACACAAAACACATATAAGCTCACTGTCATGTCATTGGACTGGGCCATGCTGGGGGTGGTGATTGGTTGTGGTGATTGGTTTGGAGCTGGGTGGGGGTTGCCCCTTGGCTGCGTCCACAAAGGGGTGCAGAAGGAGAATGGCGATGTCTGCGCCCTCACCAGCTGCGTGTGACGAAACCCCTCCGAAGATTTCGTCCAATTTTCTACACCCACGAGGCACACCATCCACGCGCAGCCAGCCACCTGCACGCACGCACACGCGACCGCACGCGAAACACACACACCTGTACCTTCATCTCTTCACACATCTGCCGCCACCATGAGCAGTGCCAAGCCGCGTAAAGCTCTTGGCGAGGAGTACATCGGCGATGGCGGGGTGCGGTCGCGACCAAGAAACAAGCGGGCCAAGGCAGAGGGCAAGCAGTTCACGTACCTGGATGCCTTGACGTCGCAGAAGATTATCGATCAAGCGCGGCAGCAAGTGGAAGAAGCAGAGCAAGATGAGCGCAAGCAGGCTGCTCCTAGACCACACGTGGAGGTGTCCACCACTCGAGACAGCGAAGACGAGGACGATGACAGCAGGCGACAGAGGAAGAAGACGGCGGCACGCACCAAGAAGAGCGGAAAGAAAGGCGAGCCCGTGCACGTCTCTGGGAACGTCTACCTCCGTGAGCGCTTTGCGGTTGATGACGATGATGACACAGAGGATGCTGCGATCGATCCACAGGGTGCAGACGCAGACTATCAAACGCTCTCCAGCGAGATGGGCATTGATGCAACGGACGAGGCATCCGTTGCAGCCTTCATGCCGGAAGAGGCGCCTGCTCGCATGACGCTGGCAGATGTCATCTTGGCCAAGATTGAGGAGAACAAGACGGAGATTCAGACTCAGCTGTCTGAGATGGACCACACGCCAACTTTGCCACACAATATCGTTCAGCTCTATCGTCGGTGAGTGTGTGTGTGTATGTGTGTGTGTGTGCGCGTGTGCGTGCGTGCGCGCGTGTGTGTGTGTGTGCGTGCGTTCGTGTGCGTGCGTGCCCTCGTGTGCGTGTGTGTAATGGTGAGAGAAGGCCGTCATGATGTGGAGACACTGCTGCTTTGCTCGCGTGTGCGTGTAGCTGTCTGCCTCACCCCTGCCATCCCTTGGCCAACCCTCCACTTGCACACGTGGGTCCATGGCTCACATCGCCGCTTGGTGCCCGCCCCCCCCCCTGTTCCGGTCCCCGGATTGTAGCGTGGGCCAGTTTTTGTCCACATACAAGTCGGGAAAGATGCTCAAGGCTGTCAAGCGCATGCCTACGCAGGCCAACTGGGAAGAGGTGCGCCCTTCCCTGCTCTGCCTGCTCTTGTGCACATGACCATGTGCCACACCATCCCGCACACACGTGCACACGCATGAAGCGTCCACATAGACCTGTTGCTGCCATTTCTCGTGACCATGTGTGTGTGTGTGTGATTGCATGTGCCTGCAGTTGATGTACTTGACTCAGCCGGAGACCTGGAGCGCCGCGTCCATGTATCAGATTACTCGCATCTTCTCCTCAAACCTCAACGCCAAGAAAGTCCAGCGGTGCGTGCGTGTACACTGTGCGTGCGTTTGTACGTGTGCACGTGTGTTTGCTGTCTTTACCTGCGTGCGTGCATGTGCACATGTGTGTGTGTGTGTGTGCCTGCTCCAGCGTCCACGTGTCATTGCTGTGCATTCACACAATGGTGTCTGCACCCCACGATCCCTACCCTGCGTCTTTCGATGCCTCTGCAGCTTCTACAACCTGGTGCTGCTGCCGCGCGTTCGCGATGACATTGCCGAGTTTGACAAGCTCAACTACCATCTCTACCGCGCCCTGATGCGCGCCCTGTTCAAGCCGCGCGCGTTCTACCTGGGCATTGTGCTGCCGTTGTGCCAGAGTGGAGACTGCACCCTGCGCGAGGCCGTCATCATCAGCAGCGTCTTGGCAAAGAAGAGCATCCCGCCTGCAGAGTCCGCTGCCGCCATGATCAAGATTGCAGAGATGCCATATGCTGGTGTGTTTGTGTGTGTGTGTGCGCGCGCGCGCGTGTGTGTGTGCATGTGCGTGTGTGTGCATGTGCGTGTGTGTGAGCGTGTTCTCATGTGTGTGAGTGGTCGTGTGCGCGGCAATGCACCACGCACGCCCCAGCCCTGATCTCTGCAGCTCATTCTCACCACGTCTGGCACTGTTACTGCTGTGCGCAGGTGCGAGCAGCATCTTCCTGCGCGTGCTGATTGACAAGAAGTACGCCCTGCCCTACCGCGTCATCGATGCGCTCGTTGCCCATTTCGTGCGCGCAGAGCACGACAGACGCGACCTTCCTGTGTTGTGGCACCAGTGCTTCCTTGTCCTCGCCCAACGGTGAGCGTCTTTGCCTGCCCGTGACTGTGATCTGTTTCCTGGCACCCATGCACCCGGATTGACTCGCTCACTCACTCACTCACTCACTCACTCACTCACTCACTCACACACTCACTCACCCACACACTCACTCACTCACTCTCACGCACACACTCACTCACACACACTCACTCACTCACTCACGCACACACTCACTCTCTCGCACACACTCACTCAATCACACACTCACTCAATCACACACTCACACACACTCTCTCTCCAGGTACCGACGATACATCTCTGATGAACAGAAGGAGGCGTTGAAACAAGTGCTGAAGGTGCACAGGCACCACAAGATCACCCCGGTCATTCTCCACGCCCTCATGGCGCCCGACAAGAGGCGCGGTAAGCAGCAGTCGTGATGTGCAACAACACCCCCTTCAACTTCTTTTCGTTGTCCTATTCACATCCGCCCTGATTATACCACACTTAGCTTCTGCCCCATCCTTGCTTCATCTTGTTTGTACATGTAAGTGTCTTTGTCTGTGTCTGTGTGCGTGTGTGAGTGAGTGTGTGTGTGCGTAGCTCTGTGCATCTACCTCTTGCATCTACTGTGTGTGCGTGTGCGTCTGCTCCAACAACCACACGCCGACTGTGCCCATAAAAGGAAAATGTGTTTCTGATTCGATGCACGCCACCACCACCGACAACAACAAAGCGAAAACGAAAAGAGCAGGACCACCACATCCACGCCCACCAACTTCACCATCCACCACCACCACACCCTCCTGCTCGACTCATCCACAACGCACGCCCGATGCTGCTGCGTTCAAGGGCACCACATCACCATGGCTGAGAAGAATGACCTGGCTCTGGAGGAGGAGCTGGATGAAGACATGCTCACCAACATCCTCAAGGAGCGCTACCAACAGCGCATCATCTACGTACGCACGTCGTTGTGACTGCCGCGTGCATATGTATGCATGCGTGTGTGGGCGTGTGTGGGCGTGTGTGGGCGTGTGTGGGCGTGTGCGTGTGTCCGCTTCACATCAATCACAGCCTGGTTCCTGAGAACCTGCCGTGAACACCACTGCCTTGCAATAATGCGAGTTGGTGCAAGCGCCAGTGAACTACCGAGCACTGCCGAGCATCCACCCCGCCCTACTCACCGCCGATCTCACACCTGTGACCACCGTCACATTCCCAACGGCTCCATTTCCCACTTGCTCCCTCGTTGCGCTTTGTTGCTTTGTTGCTGGGCCGTTGTAAATGACTGTCTGGCAGACATACGTGGGGGACATCTTGATCGCAGTGAACCCATACGAGGATCTCAGCCTGTACACCGCGGAGCAGACTGCCACGTACTGCAACGTCGCCAACAAGGCCGACCACCCTCCACACATCTTCGCCATTGCAGACAACGCCTTTGGCGAGATGATGAGAAACCACCAACGCCAGGTGCCGTCATTGTGTCTACACATGAAGTGTCTGGCGAATTGCTGTGCGTGTTCATGTGGCTGCCACGTCACAACATGCGTGCTCTTGGCTTGCACTGCCGCTCGCACTTTGCACTGCCACAAACCAAATTACACACGCAAACGCATGAATCACACGCTCACATTCACATTCATTCAACTGCTCACACACGTGTACGCAACGAATCCTACATGTGCATACAACTGCTCACGCGCATATACACGGCTGCTCCTTCACGCTCGTCATCCTCCCTCGCTCCCTCACACACACACACACACTCACTCACACGCACGCACACTCACACGCGCGCGCACGCACGCAGGTTGCTGTCATCTCTGGGGAGAGTGGTGCGGGAAAGACCGAGAGCACAAAGCTGTTTATCCGCCACGTGATGGACGTGAGTGCGCGTGGCATCCTCAACACCGCCACACCGGCGACGCGCACGCGCCACCCGCTGGAGGAGAAGATCATCCAGCTCAACCCGATCCTGGAGTCCTTTGGCAATGCACAGACAGTCATGAACGACAATTCCTCGCGCTTCGGCAAATTCGTCGAGCTCAAGGTGCTGATGGGGTTGATGGTGTTGGTGGTGCTGGCGTGAACGCAAGAGACAGCTGTGCACCATCGATCCACTGTGTGTTTGACACCCACGACCGCTGGTGCTGCTCTGTGGTCGATTGGATGTGCAGTTCATGTTCCCCTGCTGTGATCTCACTTCGCTTCAAATCTGCGGTGGTGGTTCTGCGTTGACAGTTCAACGAGAGTGGTGTTGTGCAGGGCGCCTCTCTTTCCCACTACCTCCTCGAAAAGGCCAGG